GCGAAATCTATCCCGATTTTTGGGGCTTGTCGCTCTCTCTCTCGCTCTTTCTCTATCACCAGAAATACCAACGATAATAATATCTTATTTCGAGCTATCACCTTTCCAATTTCGCGATACAAACATCCTTGGGATCAGTGCTGAGTTCGGCAACTCGATAATTTTACCAGATTAGCCTTAGCGAAATGGAACCAGAAATTCTTTACCGCGGGTAAAAAGGGCCTTAAAGGGCACGTTCAGGGACGTTTTTTGGAAAAAAAGCAAAGATTTACGCCGCCGCCGGGGGTCGAACCCGGGCCCCCCGCTCGGGGGGCGCGGATGCATACCAGTCAGCCACAGCTACAACCTGGCGAGGGGGTGAGGGCCGCCCCACGCCGCAAAGGAGGGAAATTGCCCCCCTCGGCACGGGCAGGCAGTGCGCGCGGTCCCTACGTCCATAGGGTGTACACGTTGGGACGAGTACACGGCCCCTCCCTGAACGTGCGCTTTAAATAATTATGATCAACGGTGTCTTAGATAATTTAATTTTTAAGATATTATGAATCCGAATTCTGAATTTTGCTACGGTTTGCGAATGGAACCTGTTAAAAATTTCGTAAAAAATGTGTTTCAACCAGCGGACTAAATAATGGTTTATTTAAGTTAATAGTTGGAACTCCTGGCTTCCTGGCCTTTTTCACCTAAAAAGAAACATTAATTGATGTCAAGCTACCAAAATTGACGACAAAAAGTTATGTTTCATTCCCGATTATAGCTGAAATTTTTATTTGGAGCTCGATACCTGAAGTGCAAGTCCCAAGTTCGGCAAAACTCCTAAATATAATTGTGATTTTTTAGATAACTGCCCTTTGTAAAAAAGATCAAAAATAAAGATGAAATCAATGTCGGGACAAAAAAGGTGGCAAAAAAGGCCATCGATGTTTAAAAAATATGTTTTATTTCCGGTTCAAACCAAAATTTAATCCGAAACTTGATGTATAGCGGTTTACAGCTTTAGTTCCTACATTTTTCGTGTTTTCTGCTCTGTCGACTACCTTTCTTAATATATATAAAAGTATAAAAGTCTGAAAATAAAATTAGTGTTTCTAAAAACGCAAAAGCACAAATGCCACAAACGTTTCAAAAAAAAAACATGTTTCATTCCAGGGTAAAAAAAGGGGATCTTTGGGGGAAGTCTAGTGCAATTGGGCCTGGTTATTTAGCTTTATAGGATACTTCATGTTATTATTTTATTAATTGCAGCCATCTACGCGCGCCTCGACTTTGCGAAAGCGGCGTCTCCGCCTACACCCCGCCGCCCATCCTGTCGCCGATGCGCAACGGCTCCGGCCTTTTTTGGCAGATCGCCAAGACGCTCGGGCAGCATGTAAGCAATAGTTTCAACATTATTTTAATACACTTGTTCTCTATATAATGCTATTTTATTTTATCATTGTTACTATAAATTTTTTTGTTATATTTATAAAATTCATTATTTAATATTTATATTATTTGGACTTTATCATAATGATTTCCACTTAAAGACAATGAAAAATTGCAAAACCGTAACAGTCACGATTCAGAACATCTGGAGCAAAAATCAAAAAATTTCCCCCGCCGGGAATCGAACCCTGGCCTTGCGGGGGGCGAGCTGGAGATTTACCAATCGGCCACTCGCCCAAACATAAAACACTTTTAGCCAGCGCTATTTTAATTAAACCTGAAGCCTCTTGATCTAAATTATGCACGACGTTTCCAAACACCGTCTAAAAAAGTTTTTAAATTTTTAAAAATTTGTGTTTCGGCGAAAATTACCAAAAATAGGTTTTTCTAATCCCCAATTAGTGAACGCCTATCGCACCAACCATCGAAAATAAACCTCTCATTATATCAACTTAATAAAACGTAATCTATTTAATTACTTTACGTAAAGCATACTTAGACCTTTAAAAAATGTAATAAAATTATTTTATATTGAACTTTTAGGTAACGCCGAATTGCAACGATTTTGCGGCGGCTGCTGGGACGGGCCTCTTGCCCACGGCAAATGGATTTGGAGGTCAGGACCATATTTCGAATTTTAAAGGAACGTTGAAGGTAAATAAAATAGAAAATTGGAAGAAAATCTAAGTAATTTGGCTGTGGTGCCAACGCGGAATCGGCAACCAGTAAACGATCGCTTTTTACCTTCATTTAAAACATTTATTTTAAACCGAGTAACCCATTAATATCATAGCCCTTTATAATGGTATATTAAACTATAGAATACGACGAGAATAAACATAAGTACTATATAAAATTAGTGACTCGAAGAATGGAAGATAATATAGTTATTTATAAACTCTCATATTCAACGGTGGCTGAAACAACTTTTTTGCTCGCAGTTCGATTTGTTCTAGGTAATTTCGGGAATAGCAAATAATCGGAATTTAATTTTATAGTTAGAATTGATTCTTATAATAAATTTAGTACGGGTGGAAAATTAGTTAATTTCGTTGCAACCGAGAATCTTTATCGAATTAAAGCAGTCAAAGTTCATCTAAGAGCTTATTTTCTCGAAACATTTTTTGCCAAAGAAGTTTTATCAAATACGCCAGCAATTTCAATTCTGTTAATTTAATTTCATTTTTATTTAAGCTTTAGTTTATTAACTCATTTTATTAATTTAATTTTATGAATTTTGAATGTGGAAAATGAGATGTTTCATCAACCTTTAAGTGCCAGATCGGATTTTGGCAGACAATCGGCTTGGATCCGGAGTCAAAAATCTTGCTGAAATTAAAATGTGAAATCGAACCGAGTTTTAGACGATAATAAGGCAGTATTTCAGGTGAGCACCAGATGGAGGCCTCATCCTCCTCGTCCGCCGGTGCTCCTTCGATTGTGCCGACGCCCGAGGACCAGAACGGGGGCGCGGAAGCGCAGGGCGACGCGCAGAACGGAGAGGACGGCCCGATGCGCAAGAACGGATTCTTTTACATGGGCAATCAACATAATCAGGTATACTTTAAGACACCAATAGATAAAATACAATTTGTATTGGCTTAATTCAGTTTTCAATAGAAAATAAATACAGTAAAATAAACAAATTCTGAGAAATTCAAGTCAAATAAATAAATACGAAATAAATAAATAAATAAAATAAATAAAATACAATAAAGGAATCAATTTAATATTTTAAATAAAGCTTTAAATTTAGAAGGTTTTAGACGTGTTTTATTGGTATTTTTCGAAATTGGGTTCCTTTCTTATCCACGTTTTTGTAAAGATGAGAAAAAGTAAATAGATAAAATTTACAATACATATATTATAAAAAGCGTACAAAAATTATAAAAATGTCGAAAAATTATATTAAAATATAGTCTTACTGTATTACCTTATTCCAGGTGAACTTCGCCAAGGAGCTGGAGGCGCTGAGAAAAGACTCTTGGGCCAGCACCAGCAGCAACAAGTCAAAACGCTCGATTACTATCGACGACAGGTAGAGTAATTTAATTAATATGATTAATTGAAATCTAAATCGTAATTTTAAATGATCAAGCTCTGAAAATAAAAATGTTTCAACAAATTAGGATCCAAAAGTTTTAAGGAGTGCTACTACTAATTAGATTTTTCAGCCAAAATCACTCTGGCAAAACGCTATTGAAATTCACGTTCTATATAAATAAAAATACTCATAAATACCACAGTATAAAAAACGATAAAGAAAATTGTGGATTTTACTTTAAGAGGTTTCGCCAAAAACCGACTTTAAAATATGCTGAATTTTATTTATTTGACAATTTTGGTTTAAAAAACGTGCTTCAGCAAAAACCTAACTGTCCGAATTTTAAAGAGCTCGAATGAATAATGAAAAGATCATTTGCAAAATCTCATTTAAATTTAGCCGTTTACAGGAGTGACGCGTTGCGGAAAGCGAGTACCATGTCCGAGTGTTATTACGACTACCACTCCGCGGCCCAACATACTGACGCAACTCCGTAAGTTATAAAAACTTAGCGTTAACCCTTGAAAAATAGTGTTTCAAAAATGTATATAAATTAAAAAGTGTGAAATAAAAAAATGCAATTCTATGCTCGAATAAAAAAAAACGTTTCAAAATCAAATGTTTTATGATATCTAACACTTCATTGAATTTCTGATAATTTACTTTCGCCCGTTCACTCGCCTTAAATTAAACTTTGAGCTCGTAAACGGTGATCCAAATTTTAATTTTTATTCGCATAAATCGTGGTTTAAAGAACTCTATTTATAAATAAAAACTCCCGGGGAATTTTGCGAAATTCCAATTGAAATTTGCTCAAAAAAAACATATGAAAGAATAATGTTTTACGATACCTTACACCCCGTTTATTTCGTCATCACTTAATCATGGGCACTTTCAACCTGCTTAATTTGGATTTTTAGTGCGTAGTTATGGAATTTTGATTTTTAATTTTAAATAAATCCTGTTTCAAACGTGTTTCAAATTTCCCTGTTTCAAACAATCCAAAGAATCAATATTTCCCTGATGGAAAATTTGGAATTGGAATTTGCTGATCACAAAAATATGTGAAAACGAATGTTTTATGACATCCGATAGCTAGTTTAATTCATCATAATTTAATTCGGAGTAGTTCAAAATGGAACCGATTTATTTAATAAACAAATTGTTTTTTATTCGAAAAATTAATTTTTAAATTTAAATCACATTGAAAATCAGACTTAATTAAATCAAAAACCGCCTTTTTTTGCAGATTTGACAAACTAGGTTTTATGCTAACTTTTAACTCGTTTAATGCGTACCAATTTAATTTGACACCTTTCAGGCGCTTTTTAAATTAGCTAGAGCATTTGAAGTGCTAAAAAATTCTTGTGATTCGTGGAAAATGTGTTTCAAAATTGTTTATAAATCAAAGAAGACCTAAAACTTCATTTTCAGCCACATCAACATTGGGCGCGAGTTCCAGGCCCGCGTCAAAAAGTGGGCCGACCGGGAGATCACCGACGAGGAGAGGGAGGCCATCGAGGAACGCGATGAGATGGTTTTCGATTCGACGCTCATCGACCATCTATCCCCGGAGCAATGTCGGTTTCATTTAAATTCATTTAAATTGCTACTCAATTATTCTGCACTTATATACTTGTATTGGAACCCACTAAATTAAATTAAATCTATTTTATAGAATTGATATTTGGCTCTGTTCTTTGCTAATTGTGTTGGCACAGAAAATTGAATTGATCATCTTCAACCTCGCCGAAGTTTTCAAATATTTGAAACTCATAATTTTGAAAGACCATTCTCGAAAAATGGAAAATTAAGTTCTGACTATTTAATTACTGCTATTTTTATGGCACCATTTGATCCTCGGCACAATCCATATTTCTAAACGCGCTGAACCTCGCACATTTTTGAAACTTATCGTTTCTAATGGCTATTAGCGAAATGGGAAATTAATTTATGGCTAGTTACTTGATTTTTTATTAGGACCAATTCATAATTCACGTGAAATGCTTCGTTACCAAATTCGCTAAACTTTATGAATTTTGGCTAAAGTCTAGGAAACCCCCCTGCCAGCCGACCTTTCAACTTTTCTACCTTCCTTATTTTTATTTTTCGCTACTTTTTCAACTCAAATGCAACGTATTCTTACTAATTAGCCTACTGCGAACATTTTGGTATACCTTACTGTAACCGTTTTTTGTTGACCGTGGGATTTCGATACGTGAGATAGCACATTTTGAGCAGAAGTTTTCGCTGATTCCGAATCCGTTTTCAAAAGTTGCGGAACCCCTCTTGATAAAAAGTTACAGCCGGTTTTCTACCCCAAATGACCGAAAATTACAAACTTTAATACCTTATAAAAAACTCGTGGAACATTTTGTGGGATAAAATACCGCACTCCTGGGGGTAAAAAAACGTGCTCTATCGAATGGGCCACCTCACGAACCCGTAGCTCAAAATTCACAAAATTTCAAAAATTGGCCATCCAGGGCATTGGTCCACCGAAAAACTTTTTTTCATGAATTTTGAGCTACGGGTTCGTGGGAGAGCCCATTCGAAAGAGCACGTTTTTTTACCCCTAGGAGTGCTGTATTTTATCCCACAAAATGTTCCACGAGTTTTTATAAGGATTTAAAGTTTGTAATTTTCGGTCATTTGGGGTAGAAAACCGGCTGTAACTTTTTATCAAGAGGGGTTCCGCAACTTTTGAAAACGGATTCGGAATCAGCGAAAACTTCTGCTCAAAATGTGCTATCTCACGTATCGAAATCCCACGGTCAACAAAAAAACGGTTACAGTTAGAGCTCGCTAGCACAAAGGGGGGCCGAGATACAAAAGTGGGTGCCGACTGGGGGTAATAATTCGTAAATTACCTAAATAATAGGTTACATCTTTGTTATATTATACTTTATTATATTATATTTCATTATTATATTTTAGTAAACGCGTACGAACTGCTCTCCTGCAGCCAAGCTGTCCCGAGGCCCGGTAGGAATAAGGTACCTTGTCCTAAGTCTTGAATTTGGCTAAATTGTTTTCGTAGGAATTGGCCCTGCAACTCCTGATGGAAAACAAGGGAAACCTCGAGGCGGCCGTGATGGATTTGTTACGGTATGTTATTAAAAAAGCTAAACATGCAGCAAAAATTTTGCAAAATAATGTTTTGGAAAAAAAGTACAAACGCAAAAAATTTTTAAGGGCTAGTACCAGGAGTTAAACATCTTAAAAACCATACATTCAAACTGGAAATAAATTTCTCAACCCGAGAAAACGTATGTTTCCTTTAAAAGTAAAGTTCCGCGAGATACGACTTCCCGACTACGGTTGAGAAAGGCCAGATAACAAAACAAAATCATAAAAATATATTTTCTAGCAAACCTTTAATTATTATTTACTTGAATTTATCACTTAATTAAAGGTATAGAAATTTAATGCATGTTTTCAGCTCGGACACGCTGGACTGGGAGCAGTACCGTAGCATCTACGACTCGTACTATCCGGATACGACACCGTGGAGTGCGGAGGAAATTCTCTCGTTCCAAGATGCGCTTTATAAGACGGAAAAGGACTTCCACCAAGTGGCGCAAGAGGTAGGAGAGAGAGAGCGAGAGAGAGCGAGAGAGAGAGAGAGAGAGAGAGAGAGAGAGAGAGAGGAAGAGAGAGACAGGGAGAGACATATCTAGAAAAAATTTTAATTTACCTATTTTCAGCTAACCAACAAGACCGTCCGCGAATGCGTCGAATTCTACTACACCTGGAAAAAAGCGTGCCCCGACGACTACCGGAAACTACGGAATTTGCGTCGAAAACGCCAGCTCTTGGAGATTCATCAGCAGGTGCGTTTTATGCAATTTTTAAAGCTGGTTAAATAAAACTTAAATTAGCCAGAAAACATCAGCCGAATAAAAAAACTATGTTTCTCGTTTCCTTCTATTAAATTGACTACCGAAAGCCAGAATAATTAGCCGTGGCGAAATTTTACGCATTCACTCACGCACGCAGAGACTAAATTCTGGCCATCCGTGGCCTAGAAGGATTTGTAAAACATTTTTTCAAAAAATATTAGTATGAACCAAATTAGATATTTTTGAATTTTGATTAAAATCAATACATTTTTTAAGATGGAAACCGAGCGTGACCCATGCCCGATACCGGCAAAACAGAGGAAACTCTCGGAAGATGATACTGAGGGTGGATCCGAGTGTGATACTGACGCCACTTCACCCGGGTCATATTCGGCTATTCATGCTTCTTTGGAACCTAGATCGAGGTCGGTAGCTAGCAGAGATTGTTGAGGAAGAGGAGAGGGCAGGCTAGCAGAGATTGTTGAGGAAGAGGAGAGGGCAGGCTAGCAGAGATTGTTGAGGAAGAGGAGAGGGCAGGCTAGCAGAGATTGTTGAGGAAGAGGAGAGGGCAGGCTAGCAGAGATTGTTGAGGAAGAGGAGAGGGCAGGCTAGCAGAGATTGTTGAGGAAGAGGAGAGGGCAGGCTAGCAGATATCCTTTGCGGAAATTTGTTAACCCCGAATTCCAGGCAAAATTCCTTCATGCAACAATCCCCAAGCAGCTCGATGACGCCGATCCGGAAAACGTCCGATCTGGCGGCTCCGCATGTTCCGATGCAACAAATGCACAGCCCCTCTATTCCCCATCATCACCACCCGGGTTCCAGCAAGCAGCCGAACACGGTACTTTACTTAATACCGTATTTTTGCAAAGTTTTATGGATTTTTATGTTTCATCCGCGCGTCTTAAGTCAAGGCGCTTTTTCATTGGAAAAATTTGATGATAAAAAAATATGTATCAACTATTTAGCGATTCCGCGAGTTTTTAGCCGGGTAATTTCATATCGTCTAACCTCTCTGATTTCCCACATTGTGAAATACGGCTCAATGACTTTGTTTAAGCTGATTTTGGTCATTCCAAAATCAAAAAACGTGTTTAAAAATACTACAAATATTTAGAAAGTTCAAAGCCATTTTTGGAAAATTAAAAAGAAATTTAATAAGATGACGAAGTAAAAAATTAGAAACGGAAACTCGAAGATTTTTGTAATGCAATTTAACCATGTTTTTAGCAACCCTCAGCCCGGCACGGTTCCGTGTCGTCCGGCTCGAAGAAGGGCGCCCAACCGTCAGCAGACGGCTTCTTCCACTGCCGGCTGTGTGACAAGTGTTTCGAGAAGGTCGGTGCTTAATTTGATTTTATATTAAATTAAAAATTTACTGTACTATGGTGAATAAAAGAATAATTATACTAGACTTAAAACGCAAAAAGCAATCTAAAATCATTTAATTCTATCAAGCTTGAAAATATTACTAAAACTAAAATAGATTAAATAATAAAGTAGACAAGATTGCAAGCTCCAAAACTAATCAGAAAAACAGCAAAAACATTTAAAAATCATGTTTCATCCTTGATTCCTAAAAAAAGTTTTTGGCCTTAACAATGCTTTCTCATCATAGGCTGGGAAATGATATTCCAGATTTAATTATATTCGATATATTGCTATTAAACCCACATTATATCCGATGTAAATTTTTGCTGATTTGAATTGAGAGCGAACAACAAATCACAGCAGTTTTTAAACTTTTAAAATCAATAGGTAGCACTACAACATCTCTACGAGAACGCTAAAGTATGATTTTAAAATTTTATGTTTTATGGCCAATTGACGAAACATATTTTCCTCCAACACCAATCCAGGCGCGGTTTATAATTCAAAATTTTACTAGAAAAATTCAGGTTAAATCACTGAACGCCCACATGAAGAGCCACGCGATGAAGGCGAGGGCAGAAGCCGAGGCTCAGGCCCAAGTACAGGCGCAGGTACGATGCCATTCGATTGTTTCGCAGTATCCCGGAGGTGGGGGGGATCGGCAGATTCGCAAGCACGATAAAAAGGCATCAAGGGCATATGAACGTTTTCAATATACCTTTAGGTATCCGCACAACTCGCCCAACAAACAGCCATCCAGCAGCAAAATATGTTACAAGGTGAGACAAAGCGTAGCAGAGATTGTTGAGGAAGAACAGAGGGGTAGGCTAGCAGAGATTGTTGAGGAAGAGGAGAGGGCAGGCTAGCAGAGATTGTTGAGGAAGAGGAGAGGGCAGGCTAGCAGAGATTGTTGGGAAGGAGGCGTTATTCGGGATTTAGAAAAATTTAGTCTACCAAACTATGTTTCAAAAAATCCCCTTTTCCAGGTCTCGGTCAATCCGCTTCGGCGGCGCTCTCGGCCCTGCCGGCGACGGCGGCCGGGCTGCAGTTGGCGCAGAACTTGACGCAGGGCCTACAGCAGCAGTTGCAGCAGAATCTCCAGCAAAATCTCCAACAAAACCTCCAACAAAATCTTCAACAAAATCTACAGCAGAATCTTCAACAAAACCTGCTCCAACAGGCCGCCAGCAGCCCGCTGAATTTGAATGCGATCGCCGCCCAGAATCTGGCGACACAGGCGATCGAGCAGCAGCTCGGCTTCAACCCTGCGGCTTTTCAGCCCGGCGCCCTGAATTTGCCCTTCTCGTCGATTATTCATTAAAGGGAACGTGCCAGGGAACTGGTTTTAATAACCGAAAGCAATTTTGCAAATAATTTAGCCGATTTTTCGGACTTCAGCCTTTTCTGAAACATAAAAATTGAAATGTCAAAGCAATTTTTTTCTTTAACGTAATGCATTTCCACATTTTAAATGATTAAATAAATTTAGCTTTTGTTATATAAACTATATAAATTTAAAGAAATTACCGCATTAAAACAAATTCTCCCTGGCACTCTCTAAAAATTTCAATTGTTTTACATTTAACTTTTTACATTTTTTCTGTTGTTTTTTTTCTCTACCCGCTAGCCATTATAATATACCCTATTAAATATAGTCAATTTTTTACAATTATAAAATTTAATCTATAGTCCCGATTTCTGTGATGCGCCCTTGAAGATATAGTCAAAAATCAAATTTTTTTTCGGCCAGTTTCTGCTGTCAAATATTCTATTCCGTTACATGCCGATGATTCGCAACGTATCGTATTGTATCGTACCGTATTAATGTAATTTTAGTATTGATTATTTTATGTTAGTTTTTTGTTTATAATGCCATTACTATCATTACGTATCAATGCATTTTTTGAATCCGCCCCGCCCCGAATTTCCGCTAGTTCAATTCCGAGTTTCAACGCCCCTCCATTTCAACGATCTGCACATTTTTAAAGGGACCGGCAAGGCTGGGGTTATCGATTTTGGCCATGGATTTTTCAGCGTACATTTTGGCGCATCCTGACATGCAACGCGTACACCCGGTTTTTCGTTTTGGAATGGATTACGAAGCTTCTAGTTGGTCAAATTCGACACGCGTCGCGTATCGCGTCGCGTCGCGTGTCTCCCCGCTTCGCCGCACTACCGATGGAGTCCACGGCACTAAAATCCATAGTCCTGCCTTGCCGGTCCCTTTAATCCGTACACCCCATGTAATTACGGGTCTCAATCATTTCGCACTGAAATTATAGCTTCACAAAAATTTTCAAAAATTTATGTTTCATCCATTCTTAAAAATCCAGATTTTTACGATGTACATATTTTTAAATTTTTCTTATTTTCCCGTTATTCCCCGGTTTCATCCAATAATCGCTTGCCAAAATGTGTCGAATTTGAACGTAAATTAAGCTGTCAAACGTTTTGAAATTTGTCAAAAAATGTTTCGTGTTTTCGAATTTTCCGTTTTTCTACTTATTGCTTTTTCGGCCCGTTTTTTGGATTGTTACACTTTCCATGGTATACATACAAAAGTATATTGAATAAAATTTCTATCGCAAAACTGCAGACGGGGAAGCAACCCGAAAAATACACGTCGCAAAAATTTGTGGAGAAGCAAAAAGTGAGAAAAGTGTTTGAGAACGTCGTAAATCTGGGTATTTTGTTCGAAAAAGATCAATGTTTCGTCTTAAAATCAAATTTTTAATGAAAATTAAATTGTTTCTCTTACGGGTAATTTTTCATACGTTTTGACCAAGCAGCCAAAAAAATTTCGTTATCTAAAATTGGTTTCTCCTTCCCCCGCGCTAGGCCCCTCCCGCGCTAACAGTCCAGAACCGCCTTTGCATGGTTTAATTTGCATGGATCGCCATCGGAAATTGCTTCATTTTGCATACGACGCGATGTATTTAGGGCAAGCGGTGGAAGTGAACCGTACATTGCGAGAGACTAAGGTCTTTCCACCTTCCTCGTCTTCCCGCTTCGATGTTGCCGCTCTTTGTCTTGCCCGTAAGCCACTTTATGCCAAAAGTTTCATCCGCAACAAAATTTGACATTGGTCGGCACCAAATTTTTACCAGCGATGTGAACCCTGAAAAGCTATGCGCCGCCAAATTATCTCAGCAAATTTCTCGAAAAACAAGAAAGCTATTTGGAAAATAAGCTTGATTTTGCCGATTTCACGAGGATTTTGACGGATTTCGGCCCCGAAATGTGGAGCAAAAATGAGGTGCTCCTGCTTTTTTGCATCCCGAGACGGGTAAGACTTCAGATACCCTACCCCCCAGCCTGTGCCCAACGTTTGTATCTCGGTCGCCTGTTCATCTACAAGGGTGTACAGTCAACCAAAATGTTCGTCTTGCTCTGGCGAGTATTTGGCATACTCTACACAGCTGCCTGTAAACACACAGGGAGCCGAGGTACAAAGTTGGGGCCCGGGTGGGGGGGGAGGGGGGTGGTATCTGGAGTTCCGCGATTTTTCGATTCACGAAAATGACGTCTAAATTGAGACTTTTGCTCACTTTTTCATCATCAAAATCGGCAGAAAACGACCCGAAAATGGCCATTTTTCGGCAAGTTCCGCTAAACCAGCATAGCCAAAACACAGCCAAAAATGAGCACCGGCCTTTCAAAAAAAAATAAGTTTTTGGCGATAACTGCTTTTGTTTTACAATATTTTGCGTAGAAAATTCGGCTGCACCCAGTCTTTAGGGATCCCCATCGCGGGTAAAAATTTGGCACCGACCCGCTAAAAGACGGCCAAATGCCCCGGGGGCGATTGTTTTTTGGGGACACCCTGTACATTTAGGGACATCTCCCTGCGGCGTTCCACACGCTCAACCGGCAGATTGTCAAGGGGAGGGCCCTAGTCGGCCCCGTTGTGGACGACACCAGCCAACTGTGGAAGTCGCTGGTCGCTCACTCTGCCATCGGGTTCGGACGCGCCATCAAGTTGCAACATCAGTTGATTTCTGTAGGCATATTCGTTCGAGGGGATTTAAGAATTGACTGGCCCGCGCCTTTTTTCGGTACTATTCTATTTGGCGGGGGGAAATAGGGGTTGAGGCTCTAGTTTTCGATACTTTCGCCATTTTTTTCGATATTTTGAAGACGCCATTCGAAAGGGCATCCAAAAATATACTAAGAGTTTTAAAAATATTTTTGAACGCTTTCTAAATCTAGTGCTTCTAGTTCAATCTAGTTTTATTTCACTACAAACGCTGTTAAAATACTCCCCATTGAGTTATGAGGCATTTCCAAGCTTACAGGGAAAATTCAGTCCCCCCCCCGATAATGCGAAAGAACCAATTTTAACGCGTTTTTTTGGTTTTTGTATCTAAAAACAATGTAAAAGCCGAGAAAAAGCGTGTCTACATTTCGTTGTAAGATTGCTAGCTTCTACATCCACTTTTAGGCGGACCAGAAGCGCTCGCATCTCTTGGATGTTTGCGAAACGATGGGGATCGCCCCGTACCCGGAGTTGCTGGCGATGCCTCCCATCGACGGCCGTCTCCCCGGCGGCAGCGATGCCGACACAGCGCCCAACCAGGGCAGCGCCAACATCATCAACGACGTGTTGGCCCGCGACGGACTCGGCGGCAATTTTCAAGAGGTACATGATCACCTTTCTGCAGGAAAAACGGCACACATCAGATAACATGGCTCTTTCGCCTTATCAGGGGGGGTCCCAGGAATCAATTTTTTACATATAAACTGCGGAGGTGTTTCCAAACTTTGTACGATCCGTAAACGTAAAAACGTCACAGATTTTGACGTAAAAAAAAGTAAAAAAATCGAAAAAAAATCGATTTTCGACCAAAAATGGCCGCTTTTTGACCAAATTTTCGAATTTTTGCAACAAAAATTCTGTTTTTCAATGGTTTTCTAGCTAAAATGTATGGTTTACCCCAGAAAAATGTGTTCTTATTATTTTATTTTATTTATTTAATAATAATAGGTTATTTAGAGCTTCAAATAGTCTTTGTATTTGTTTTCTATTCTAATCAATAGCTGCAGCTCGATCGTCTGCCCGCTGGCCAAGAACCCGAGTTCGACTTGGGGCCAATCGAGGTGAAAGCGACCGACATCTACAACGACTACTTGCACCGGAGCGGGCAAGGCGGCCATCTTCTTGCTGAGGTACATGATCACCTTTCTGCAGGAAAGGCGGCACACATCAGATAACATGGCTCTTTCGCATTATCGGGGGGTCTCAGGTATCATTATTTACGTCAGATAGTTGTTCTGGCTAACATATAGTTTTCCCTCACAAAATGTTTTTTATTATGATTTTAATTAATTAATTAAATAATAATTTATTAAGAGCTTAAAATATACCTTGTATTTTCGATTTTTATCAATAGCCTGAAATAGTCTTTGTAACTTTTTGGGAAACAAAAACCACGAATGGCATCTTAAAGCACCACACAGTGTATAATTAACAGGCGGGTAGGGGCGAAAAAACGCAAAAATCAGCTGACCCCCCCCCCCCTCCTAACAGTACAGCACCGTCAAAAACTCGAAAAATTATGGCCATTAAAATCTGGAAAACCTTTCCCAAGATAACGATACGGACTTGGCCGAACCGCAGACACGATCATTTTTCAGCCGACCCTCGACGATCAACTCGAGGTCGAGGCCGTCATTGATCGTTTGGTGCTCAACTTGGACGCCTGGAAGAACTCGGTGCTGGCCATTCTCTCTTCTGTGGGTTACCCTCCTAGTCACTTCCCGTTCTTTGGTTCTTTTGCATTATCGGGGGGGGGGGGTGTGGAATTTTTAGCAGGGGGAATCACTTTCTGTTTTACCACCTAGCCTGTTGATGATATAAAATGAATTTTTATAGCGTTTTTAGTAGTTTTTGATTGCTAGAAAGTTAAAAAAATATGTTTAACAATCTTCAATTTTCCAAATTTTCGAATTTCAAAATTTGATACCAAATAGCTGAATAAATAAATAATACCTAATACCCCCCCCGCCCCGATAATGCGAAAGAACCCGTTATTTTATAGCTCAAAGAGACCAGGAAGCAGATCAACGAATATGAAGTGCTGATCAAGAAATATGAGGGTGTGGTGGGTGTAGCTTCTTCGACTCATCCTTTCTGTACTGGACTGTTAACAAGGGGGAGGGCCGGATCTTATAGCCTTTTCATAGCTTTTAGATATAAAAAAGTTTCTAAAAAACATAAAATTTTTCGATAATTTTTGACGTTTTGATAAAAATGCAGGAAAAATTACTGGAAAAGGTCAAAAATTTTAGAATTTTCAAAAATGGTGAAAAGATATTTTGTAACCGTTTAGCATTGAAAAACTTCTAAACATAAAACTAAACTTTTTGTTATTCACTGGTGGAAAAACGAAGATCAGTTTCCCCCTGCGAACAGTCCAGCACGAACCTTACCAACGGCAAAAAAAACAATGTTCCAGATCCAGGACTGCGTGAAGTACGTGGAGAAGAAGAGGCCAAGTCACATCCATTTCCTCGAAGCCCACCCATTCCCCGAGGCCCTTCCGCTTCCGCACCATGTGGGTACCTGGAAACCCCCGAAACCCCCCGAAACCCCCCGCCGCAAACTTGGGAAATTGAACCAAAATCGAGGTTCCCGAAAATTCCGTATGTTCGATCGGCCGAACTGTTATTTCCGGTCAGTGGGCCAGGTCCGCGTCTTTCACCTTTCAGCAAAAGACGCATACCTGGCCCACTCATCGTTGCCAATTCGGTCCCACTAACGAACACCTGGACTGTGGAGGGGGTTCCAAAAAGTTTCGCTGGTGATTTGCAGCAATATTCCAGTTGCTGCTCGGAGTTCGTGTGGACGAGCCGCATGGCGGCGAACAGAATACGCCGGTGAGTGCAGTTGAAAACTCTTTGAGCATTTCGGAGATTTACATTGTTACAGACCAAATCTATTGCCCATTCCTTTAAAATGAGAAATACCCGTAACTAGCAACGATTTGCAGGACTCCACCGACGACACTGGCGACAAGCCTCTTCGCGCCGTGGCTTCGTCGACCGATTTGGACACGCTGGGTGAGGGCGAGGACAACAGCCAGCAGACGCCGAACAAGGAGGTGAAGAAGCCGGTGAAGGGCGAGACGTCCGACGAGACGCCGCAGAAGCCCCAAAAGACCGGACGCCCCCGTCCGGAGACGCTCGACTTCATCCAGGTACCGTCAAAAAAATCAGCCGGCTCGCCGCGGGCCATCAGCGGCCCTTGCGCTTAACGAACTTTTATTTTTCCGCCAATTAATAGTGTGTTTTATGGAGATATTGGTAGTATTTGGTTGCTAGAACGATTAAAAATATTTTTATAGCTATATACAACTTTTTTTGGGTGAGCTTTTTTATCCGGAACCGTTTAAGATGCTCAAATGGTTTCGATTGGTTTCACAAATTAACGAATCTTTTACAGGTGGATGAGAATGTCGACCCAAACCCGGCGCTGCCCACCCCTCCACCGAACAGCCCACAGCCGCCGGCGGTCGCTGTTGCCAGCGAGTACCTGTTTCTCCTGCAGGTACCGTCAGCAACCAGCAGAGCCCCCCCGTAACAACCCAGTACCCCGTTTTGGACATCTACAACCGTCCGACGAAATCTATTGCCCATTCCATTAAAATGATAAAATACGCGTAACTGGCAACGATTTACAGGAGCCCACCGACAACATTGGCGACACGTCTCTTCACGACGTGGCTTCGTCGGCTGAGCTGGCCACGCAGGGCCCGGGCGAGAGCAAGCGCTCCAACATGCAGAACATCGACGTCATCCCGCTCGAGATCCCAGTGACCCTCATCCACCCCAAGCTCAACTCTCTTCAGGTACTGTCAAAAAATCAGCCGGCTCGAAGCGGGCCATCAGCGGTCCTTTCCGCTTAACGGGGGGGGGTAGCTACCTTTTAGTTTTCCGCCAATAATAGCGTGTTTCATGGAGATATTGGTAGTTTTTGATGGCTGGAAAGATAAGAAATATTTTATCGCTATATAAAACCTTATTTTTGTCATTATTCAACATTTTTTGATCAAAAAGTCAAATTCGATAATTTTTGGCGAGCGTTTTTTTATCAGGAACCGTTTAAGATGCTCAAAAATGGATTTGATTGGTTTCATAAATTAGCGAATCTTTTACAGGCCGATGAGAATGAGCAGTTCAACGCCAAGCAGGGTAACGAGGAGGTGCGCAAGGACAAGGCCAACGACAAGAGCAACGACTTGGACAAGCAGGTATGACCAAGCACCGGGACTACTACGATACTTGACTTCTTGGCCCCTCTAAACATGACGGATCAAACATATCCGCCATCACTTAGCCGGACTACCGATTAGTGGTCTTAAAAATTTGGGCCCTTGCCGCTGGGCGGAGTAAATTAAACTTTTACCCTCATTTGCAGGACGGGACCTAAGATGAGAAGCCCCTTCACCAGCCCGTCCAATCATTAATATATCCAGCCATTGATCGCCTGCCATATTTTAATCGCATTTGTTCCGTCTTGAATGTTTGGCCTTCTCCTGAATATTGGCCCCGATTCTCGCCCATTTCTCTCAATAAAGCATTCGAATTTACGCACGGTCTCTCGACGAGTCGTCGTTACCTCAAACAGGAATATTTCTCTCTCTCTCTCTCTCTCTCTCTCTCTCTCTCTCTCTCTCTCTCTCTCTCCCCCCCCCCCCCCCCCCCCCCCCCCCCCCCCCCCCCCCCCCCCCCCCCCCCCCCCTACCTCTTTCTCTCTCTCCCTCTCTCTCTCTCTCTCTCTGCCTCTCTCTCTTACTCTCTCGCGCTCTCTCTCTCTCTCTCTCGCCCTTTTTAGTCTTTCTGCGCCAGAATTTCTCGACGATGCTGAAATTTTCTTTTAAAGGGCTAGTTCAGTTTTTGGAGCTTGGGCTTCTCGTACCCAGGACGTAAGGATAGCGCGCTTGAACAGTCATGGATTACGGCAGCCATCAAATTGCGACCAAATGAGTTAGGGTGTCCGACTCGTGGCCGCGGAATTTTATTGCCTGAACGACCCCTTTGAAGGCGCACTCCATTCTCGTCCGGAAATCCTGCTGCTGCTCTTGCATCCGAAAATCATCCGGCGGCCGCGCGCGTCCTTTATAGCCTCTCTATCCCTTCCCCTATCCCGTCTTTCCCCATGGCCTAGTGGTCCAAGGCGCTTGCCCGATAGCGATGCCGGGCTCGGTTTTGCCCCACTTTGAGCACCTACCGTAACTTGGCATTCTAAAACGCAATTTATCTAAAATCTTCGGCTATTCAAACGAGGGCGCACTGTACCTTTAAGGACGGGCCGCGCGCCGCCGACCGGGCCGCCGCCATCCACGTCGCCATGCTGGCCGCCACCGCCAAAAGATGAATAAACGTTGCTATTGAAATTAAGCACCAGAAATACCAGCCCAGCTTTCCGTTGTGAATCCATCTATTTATTTAATGCGCCCCCCGATAAAGGATTTCTCCGAGTGCCTCCCACTTTCCTACCATGTACAAAAAAAAATAGTATACACCAGGGTTGTAAAGCCGCTTCGCGACTTTTCAACCCTGGCCCCGTCTGAGCCTATGATATTACATGCAACTTTTGTCAGCTTGTTCAAATCGTAACTCAATATGCGAAGAACTTAAAGGGTTATTTGATACGTCATTAGGTGCATAATGGCTCCGAAAAGACACGCTTATCAGGCAGGAGAAGAGGAAGAGGAAGGGGAGAGAGCAGGCTAGCAGTGATTGTTGAGGAAGAGGAGAGGGCAGGCTAGCAGATATTGTTAAGGAAGAGGAGAGGGCAGGCTAGCAGATATTGTTTAGGAAGAGGAGAGGGCAGGCTAGCAGAGATTGTTGAGGAGGAGGAGAGTGCAGGGTAAGCTCACCAACTAATTCGATTTCAGGAAAGTATCGGCTCTGACGCGTCGGATGAATCGGACGGGTCTGAAAATTGGCGGGACACGGACGCCTCCGACGCTTCCGAATCTGAAGATGACCCGAATCACATCCTCCAAACACCCAGCAAGCGCCGGGTCAAAACTGTAGGCGAAACGGTTTAAAAATACCGCATTTCTTGGACAGGCACCCCGCCCCCCCCCCTCCCCCCAGCCGGCACCCAACTTTTGTATCTCGGCTCCCTGTTCATCTACAGGCGTGTAAAGTATACCAAAATGTTCGCCTGGCTCTGGCGAGTATTTGGCATACTTTACACACCTGTAGGATAATGCGGAGCCGAGATACCGTAGGTGGGGGTCGGCAGGGTCGGGGGGGGGGGGCTAAATTGCAATTTAGCCCGCCGCTTTTTTAGCTTGCCACCTGCATTCGGTGCAAGAAAATGAAGGACACGACCACGCGATATTCTGCGCCGACGTGCCGTGATTGTGGCACTTGGTTCAGGTGAATAATTTTCTTATTCTTTCGATTTATAGGGGGGGAGCGCTGCTTTACCAGGATAAATGGAAGAAATGCTTTTAAATCGCGTTTATTAATTTACTTGGTTGATTTCATTAATTTGTTAATTAATTTAATTTAATTAATTTAATTGAGCATAAACTTCAGCTTAAAGCCTTTCCAGGAAGATGTGCAAGCTGTACGGTCCCGCACGTTGCCCTGGACACGCCGGGCCGAACCGTAAGGCATTTCTCTGCATGAGAGAGGAGAGAGAGAAAGAGGGAGCGAGAGAGAGCAGTGAGAGAGAGTAGAGAGCGAGTAGAGAGAGAGAGGGAGCGCGATAGATAGAGAGGCGGAGAGGGCAAGAGAAAGAGAGAGAGTAGTTAGAGAGATATCGGCGCCCCATAAATCCATCGTTTACAGGTCAATGCCAGCACTGCAAGCGCGATGCCCTCGTCGAGAAGGGTCTCATCTACACCGATTACTAGCTGATTACGCCTTCTCACCACAACACCGAAAGTCCAATTGATTTTTGTCGAATAACCTGCCCAGTTAGCTTTTTTACTCTCGATCCGTCCCTTTCGCTCGTGTGTCCAGCCCATCTCTGATGTATCACGACAACTCTTCTCTTTCCCTAGAATTAATTCACTCGCATTACCTAAGTTTTCCACTTCCGTTTCCCGGTTATTCATGCTATTTATACCATTTTCATTCCGACTCCCCGTCCCGCTATTCGCTTATTCAGGCCGGGCTTTGAGCGAGAATAAAACCATGCAACATCACGCGCAACGCAGCAGGCTTGTCGGCAATCAATTCTGATCGTTCTCTAAATAAAATTTTCTGCTTCCGATTTCAAACTCTTCTTTTTTCCAGGTTTTTGACACAGTTTTTTGCGCATCTTTCAAGGGACATGTGGCAAAAAAAATGCAAATGTATTTTTTGCCACTAAAATCTTCCCCTGAAAACCCCCCAGAAGCGGGTGTTTCAGGTCCAAAAAAGATGCCGAAAACTTTTTTTCGAGGCAAAAACACATTCCAAATCCTTTAACAAGGGTCAAAAATTATGCAAATGTGTTTTTTGCCACTAAAACCTCCCCCTGAAAATCTCCGCTTGAAAACCTCCGCCTGAAAACCTCCGCCTGAAAATCTCCTCCTGAAAACCTCCGCCTGAAAACCTCCCCTTGAAAAACCTCTGAAAAACAGGTGTTTCAGCTGCAAAAAAGATGCAAATCACTTTTTCGAGGTAAAAAACACATTCCAAATCCTTTCACAAGGGTCAAAAAATTATGCAATTGTGTTTTTTGCCATGAAAACCTCCGCCTGAAAATCTCCGCCTGAAAATCTCCGCCTGAAAATCTCCGCCTGAAAACCTCCGCCTGAAAATCTCCGCCTGAAAACCTCCGCCTGAAAATCTCCGCCTGAAAATCTCCGCCTGAAAACCTCCGCCTGAAAATCTCCCCTTGAAAATCTCCGCTTGAAAACCTCCCCTTGAAAAACCTCTGAAAAACAGGTGTTTCAGCTGCAAAAAAGATGCAAATCACTTTTTTCGAGGTAAAAACACATTCCAAATCCTTTCACAAGGGTCAAAAATTATGCAATTGTGTTTTTTGCCACTAAAACCTCCGCCTGAAAATCTCCGCCTGAAAATCTCCGCCTGAAAACCTCCGCCTGAAAATCTCCGCTTGAAAACCTCCCCTTGAAAAACCTCTGAAAAACAGGTGTTTCAGCTGCAAAAAAGATGCAAATCACTTTTTTCGAGGTAAAAACACATTCCAAATCCTTTCACAAGGGTCAAAAATTATGCAATTGTGTTTTTTGCCACTAAAACCTCCGCCTGAAAATCTCCGCCTGAAAATCTCCGCCTGAAAATCTCCGCCTGAAAACCTCCGCCTGAAAATCTCCGCCTGAAAACCTCCGCCTGAAAATCTCCGCCTGAAAATCTCCGCCTGAAAACCTCCGCCTGAAAATCTCCACCTGAAAACCTCCGCCTGAAAATCTCCGCCTGAAAACCTCCGCCTGAAAACCTCCGCCTGAAAATCTCCGCCTGAAAACCTCCGCCTGAAAATCTCCGCCTGAAAATCTCCGCCTGAAAACCTCCGCCTGAAAATCTCCACCTGAAAACCTCCGCCTGAAAACCTCCGCCTGAAAACCTCCGCCTGAAAATCTCCGCTTGAAAACCTCCGCCTGAAAACCTCCGCTTGAAAACCTCCGCCTGAAAACCTCCGCCTGAAAACCTCCGCCTGAAAACCTCCGCCTGAAAACCTCCGCCTGAAAATCTCCGCCTGAAAACCTCCGCCTGAAAATCTCCGCCTGAAAATCTCCGCCTGAAAATCTCCGCCTGAAAACCTCCGCCTGAAAATCTCCGCTTGAAAACCTCCCCTTGAAAAACCTCTGAAAAACAGGTGTTTCAGCTGCAAAAAAGATGCAAATCACTTTTTTCGAGGTAAAAACACATTCCAAATCCTTTCACAAGGGTCAAAAATTATGCAATTGTGTTTTTTGCCACTAAAACCTCCGCCTGAAAATCTCCGCCTGAAAATCTCCGCCTGAAAATCTCCGCCTGAAAACCTCCGCCTGAAAATCTCCGCCTGAAAACCTCCGCCTGAAAATCTCCGCCTGAAAATCTCCGCCTGAAAACCTCCGCCTGAAAATCTCCACCTGAAAACCTCCGCCTGAAAATCTCCGCCTGAAAATCTCCGCCTGAAAACCTCCGCCTGAAAATCTCCGCCTGAAAACCTCCGCCTGAAAATCTCCACCTGAAAACCTCCGCCTGAAAACCTCCGCCTGAAAACCTCCGCCTGAAAACCTCCGCCTGAAAATCTCCGCCTGAAAACCTCCGCTTGAAAACCTCCGCCTGAAAACCTCCGCTTGAAAACCTCCGCCTGAAAACCTCCGCCTGAAAACCTCCGCCTGAAAACCTCCGCCTGAAAACCTCCGCCTGAAAACCTCCGCTTGAAAATCTCCGCCTGAAAATCTCCGCCTGAAAATCTCCGCCTGAAAACCTCCGCCTGAAAATCTCCACCTGAAAACCTCCGCCTGA